AACGACTTAACCTCCATTAATTAGTGAACATTAGCAGTAAACTGAAAATAAACTGTATCAAGTTACAAACTTTTGCTGATCAGTTTAAGCTTTTGTTCTTTTTTATAATTTTACTAATTTATGCTCTATTCTAATGCAAACCCCGAGGCCGCTGGGATCTTATTATATTCTCGGTCCTAATGAGAATATAATGTGTCTGAACTCGACAGTCGTTCTGACTCGAGCTGTGCAACGTCGAGTTTCAGGACTGCGCTGCATCGTTGTGCTTTTATTGCACAAGCAAAAGTTTCCTGAAGAGACTTGGGTGCCCGCCCTCTGAGGGCTTGTTGGGTTGCGGTTGTGCCGTCTTGTCCTGCTCTAACTGCCATCTTGGACTACAAACAGAAGTCCTGCTCCAGCTCTGGACATCCACACCGAGCTGGTGGAGAGCTGCTTGTTTGCTTCTACACCGAGGTCACCGAGCTGAATGAGGACGACCGTCACCAGAAGCCAGACAGAGTTCATCCACAGAAGATGAATTTCTGATGTCACAAGTTGTTAATGATATTAATTAACAGAAGAACACCAGAGTGTGTCTTCGTTGGCGTGCCACAAGTGCAGTCCAATTCAGCTCACAGACAGGAAACACATGGATGTGTGATACAGGTCCTGATACACTTCATACAGGCTGAAGAGCTGCCCGGTAAACAGCTCACGCATCCATCCCGTCCACGATCTTTGCCCAAATTTGCTGTAACTTAAAGTAACTGGAAACGACGGCAGCAAATGGAAACCAAACTCCAAGCTTCACGTCGCCCCTCAGCAGCAGATGGCTGGTGCCACAAATGCTTTTCCACATCTTATATTTTACACTTCAGTACCAGAGAATATTAGTTCGCTATGAATGCTCGATGTTTCTCCAGGGCTGCATTTTCCCTTCAAACCCTGCGGCACGCTGCTTCCAACAAAGTGCCAAAACCCATTTTGTTCCGTCTCTCTCGAGACGGCAGAAGCTCGTCGTTTATTCTGTTTTTCAGACGAACACCAGTTCTGAAAGAAGCGCCGTCAATTATTATCTGGTATCAAGACTCAGTCCTGTGCCACGCGCTTATTGTTATGCATGGAGCGCTGACTGTGTGAATTAGGCTTTCCGTGCTAAAAATCAAGGTATTTGGTTTGTTTAGTGACTCGGAACATTTTCATTTGCCTCTGCAGAACGTGGCATTATGTTCTGATGAGGATCGCGGCGCTCGTCTGCGAGGAAAACGCTCCATTTCTTAATGCAAACACCACGAGTGGCCCGAGCAGAAACAATTCAGAGGTTCATTAATAAAACATGAGCGAGGCGGGTTATTCCAGAGTGACAGCTAACACTCATTTACATGGCTGCTGCTCCTTTCCTTTAAATATTTCATAAAAGAAGAAGAACAGAGTAACGGTGCAATGAATGCATGAATATTAGATATTGATGCAGCAGGATGCAAACACGATCGCAAATAGCATCGACTAAAATCCCTGTCAGAGTGCATTACACTAAGAGTAAGTGATAGGCTTATAGAAGCTCGGTGCTCGCTCACCGCAGAGGTCACGATGAGGGTGTTTCAGGGATGCTGGACGTGAGCGGCAGCTCATTGTTTTATTATATGAAAGAGCTGTGGTGCTTCTAAAGGGAAAATACCAATATTTTCACTTTCCTCATAAATGTGATTGTATCCAATAGTGCATTCAAACTAGATTTACATAAACAGTTTCAGTCTATATATAATCAACAGTTAATTAGTTGTATAACAGCTAATTCATTTCCATGATGAAAACAATCTGGAGGCGGAGGCTCAGTCATTAGCAGCACATTTAAAGCTTTAATATTTAAATTTTCTCGACTATAAAACATTTCACGCCTGGTTCAAGCTCCTTGTAAAAACAGAAGCTTCCAGTCAACTTGTTCTCAATAGTATTGTTTTCATAAATGACTCTTTTTACTTGAAAAACATCCACGGATACTCCGCACACCAACAGAAGACCCCAGAAAGCCGATCCTCACAGTTTGAACCTGGATAAAAACGATCCCAACAGTAACACAGTCACGAGTCAGTATTCTGCTGCTAGTCTGCTGTTAGCTGGTTTGCACAGCTTGTTCTCACACTCCATGTGCAAACAACCACCGGCCAAAACAGCGATACATAAATGAGACTGTCCAGGGTTCCTACAGGCACCAGAGAGTTCAGAGTTTTTAAGGTGTTTTTCAAAAGATCTGCATGAACTTTAAGTCCAACAAACCAGGAGACATCAGCCTCCTGGTTCTAGTGCTCTGTGCCGAGTGTATTAAACCGTTAAACGTTTCCTCATCTGCATCCACAAAGGGAAACGTGTGGGAGCTGCCTCACATAGTACCATCTCAAACACTTCCTGCACAAAGTAATTTCACAGAATTCACATGTCCGCTTGTCTTTGACAGTCAGACAACTTGGCTTTAAAAATTATGCATGTTGTTTCCTCTGTTAGCTCGTGTGATATTAATGCCCATCAGTAAATTATTGAAAAAAATCTGTAAGTGCTTGTTTTCAGAAAAAACGATGAATAAAATCGACTCTCTTGACGCCTGAAACACTGACCGAAGACTTTTAAATACCAACTATTTCCATATTTTCAGATGAATTAATTTAATACATTTCAAGACTCTTTAAGGACCTGCAGGAACGCTGCTAATCGTTTACTGTCAGTCATGTAAGCTGTGCAGCGTCTGAGGGACCGGCGTGGATTCTCTACATCTTAGTAGTTTAGTGTGATGCTGAGGTACGTTTGCTAACATGCCCTGTGCTCCTGCTGGCAACTCGGCAAGAATGAAGAAGCCATGATGAAAGAGGAGAGGAGAGGAAGAGTCGGATACATGAGTGTGAGATGCTGTTCTTCCAGTTTATAGATGTTGTTGCAAACTGATGTTCGTGTCAGCTTTCAGTAATTTGCTTTAGAGATGAAAAACAAGTCTGCATGTCCTTCTTGCTTTCAGACAACCTAATTCACTTTTTTGAGATATACTGTCGAGACTTATAAAACAGATGCATGTGTGACGTGTTTGAAATTTGCAGAACGTTTGGAAGATGAGCAGAAGTCTTCCTCAGAGCTTCGATCACTTTAGAGGAGTTTAGTTTCGTCTTGTTAGTGTTTCGTGATTTCTTCGTGCTTCTCCTTCCTCTCGGCTGCTTCTCCCTGGCCTGAATCTGATGGAGGTTTCTTCCTTCCCACTGTCACCGAGCACTGCAGAGGGACTCAGATATTTGGAGCCATCTCTGATATTTATCTTGCAATATGAAGCTGTATATTAAATGTGTCCGATGCATTAAAACTGAACCGAGTGGGCTCACATCAGTCAGAGCTGGTACCCGACTGCAGGTCTGTCCCAGGCAAACAGAAGAGGACAGAAGAGTAAATCATGTGTATGTGTGAGTCAGCAGGGATTGTATTAAATGAGAAAAGCAGAGATTAATTATTTGAATGTGACACAGGCCGTCTGAGAGCCTCGCTGTGTTTTCCTCCCATACATAAAGACTGAATATAAGAAATGAAGTGTGTGACACTGTGGGGGGTTCCACTCAGAGTGTCCCTCCACCCAACTGCTCCCCTGAAACCTGCACGCCTCTGCTGATGTTCCTGTAAATGCAGTTTTAAAGCTGCATTTTCACCTAATAAGCAACTTTAAAATCATGAATCCAAAACTGGAGAAGTTCATTAAAGTCAAACAATTTACTGCTTTTCTCCCTGAGAAAAAATAGAAATGCAGCTTTTGCTGTTTTCAAGACATTAGAGAAGCAAACTGTACCAAAAATTTCAAGGTGCTCTTAAAACATTTTATTTTGCATTTGATTCTTGTTTTTATGTCAATAACTGAACCTGCTTCTGTGGAGAACAGATCAGCTGCTCAGAAATCAGAAATCAGAAAGGGTTTATTGCCAGATGTTGAGCAGGTTTACAACATTAGGAAATTGCTGCGGTGCTTCAGTGCAACATACTGTCATAAAAATATAAAATAAGAATAAGAATTAAAGTGCTAAGTGGATAGATATATACATGAGTGCAGGTGGTGATCAGTGCCAAACATGGAATGATGCAGTGAACACAGCGTAGGGTCATGTGTTAGTGGTGGGAACAGTCATACGGTTATTGTTCATGTGTCCAACAGCAGAGGGGAAGAAACTGTTCTTATGGCGAGAGGTTCTGGTTCTGCTCGGTTTCTTCATTAACGTCGGTCTTTAGTCTGGTTTCTTTCAGAATTTCTTTCTCTTTGTTTTACAGGTTTGTGTATGTTAGTTTGTCCATGTTTGAATATTTTGTTTTTTCCCCATTTTTAATGTTTTCGTGTCTGTGAAGCCCTCTGAAACTTTACATGTGCAAATAAAAGCGACTCAACATTCCTGCTTCAGAAAGCAGACGGACTGTGAAACAGGAGGAAAGAGCTTCAGCCAACAGTTTGGCCAAATTTATCAAAAGAACAGCAGGAAAGTTTATTGAGGCAGAGACGCCTTAAAATAAAAAGGTTAAATCTAAACTCTGAGTTAAATTAAATGAAAAATAAAATTATAAGTACAAAACAACAACAACCCACAAAGTGACTGCAGGCCACACGGATCCAATCATGACAACATGGACCAGATATACAACTCGGATCAGCTGTGAGATCGTAAACAGCTCTTTAGGAATAAATGCGTGGATACTCCAGCAGATTAAATTCACGCCTCACAGACTAAACTGACTCGCAGCAGCAGGAACATTAACCCGACTCTTCATATTTCAGCTCGAAGCTCAAACAGGCCAACAGACACGGACATGCAGGACAATGAGGATCCAGTGAGATTCAAAGGTCACCACAGCAGCAGCGGCTCCAACAAGTCCCCGAATCACAGAAGACGTGCCCACGGGAATATCACACATACAGACCCGCGCGCACATCTCGGCATCAGATTAGGATTATTCAAAGCACAGAGGCTGATTTACAGCAGGAGGGGTGGAGGAGGTGGAGGTCTTACCTGTGCAGTCCTTTCCTTTGCCTTTGCACTCGCCGCTCTGAGGATAAGACCCCCGAGCCTCCAGCAGCAGAGACAGCAGGCAGGCGGACACCAGGCACCGGACGACCCCGCCGGGACGCCCGCGATGCCTCGCAGGGCCTGACAGCATCGCGAAGAAGCCGATCAGACCTGCAGACGCCAGCGGGACGCAGCGCTCGGATGTCGGTTCAGGTGGAAAGCACAGCTTAATCCCGGGTGCAGCAGGCGGAGGCTGGCTCACACTGTGCCCCACTGACGGAGAGCGCAGAGGGAGGAAGGTGGAGGAATGTGCGGGTAACGCTCGCCGGATCCGCGTTCAGGAAGTCTGGGAGGCGGTCCAGTTCGTCCGGGCAGGGAGCATCCTCCCCCTGCGTCCGCGCCTCTATCTTCAGGCAGACCGAGCTGCACCGGCTGGATCCGGCTATCTGTCTCGCGCCGCACACGAAACGATCCCGCGCGTCGTGGATCCGTCACGGAGCTCAGCGGGGCGCTCCGGCTCACAGACGCGCTGCAACCACAACAAAGAGATCCGGACCGAGAGCAGGGAGGACGGGCGGGCTGGTCACGTGAGAGGACGCAACGCTCCCCTCCACCTCCACGCCCCTGACGCACGCGCGCGCGCGCGCACGCACACCTTGAGCTGCAGAAGGCTGCAGTGAAAGAAGCTCCGGCAGGTCGCGGACCTGAACGCGTCAGCCCACATCCACGGCCGGCAGCACGTGCGACACCGAACGTGACGGTTTTGTTCAGTATCGTTAACGATGCAAGAAGGAGCACGTGACACTTTAGAAGGAAGCGTGTCCACTCAGGACGTGAAATCGTTCCGGTGGAGGCTGCTGTTCCACCAGCAGCTGCTCGGAATCCGCTTCAGACAGTTTTCTATTAAGAAGTCCCGGGAGAGAGGCGGGAACGATCTCACGGGAACAATCTCACGGGAACACGCTGCTGAACTCTCCTGAAAATAAAAAGTCACGTGATTAATAATCAGCACGAGTCACGATGAATTGATTATCAGATTAGATAGATTGATGAAGAGTTCATTAAACGAAGACTCTGTGACTCTGTTATTGCACCTGCGTGATCATCAGTCCTTTGTGGACACTTGAAACTGTTTTAGAGTTACTGCTGAACTTTCTGTTTCCCTCTGATCTCTTAAAAACGTCACTTTAATGTCACTGAGACTTTCTAGCTGGATAAATAAAGGATGGTCACTTTGCCAGAAACTGATCACAGCTTCTACCTCGTGACAAAAACGTTCTCTGTGGCTCGACATGACTTCATGTCATTGATGGGAGAAATGTTTGACACCTGTTTCACAGATTATAGGCCAACAAGTCATTTACAACGGTTTAAATATGGGCAAGGTTCAAATCTGGCCGGCCCACTGATCAATAAGAAATCATTTCATACAGGATGATGTATTTTTGAAAAGTATTTGTTTTAAACGCTCCTCAAACGTTGATTCTGTTCATCTGGAGGTTCCCTCACTCATCAAAGTGACTTCAAATGACTTTGGGCTCTTTAGGCTTTCCGTCCCTGCATGATTGAGCATCAAGACATCTTTTAAAGTGCTTTCAAACTAAGGGTCAGTTTCACACTGCACAAAGTCCAAAGACTGTTTTACTCAAAAATCATCACGTTGGTGCTGAAACTGGAAAACAGTTTAGTTCCACAGACAGGCTGGTTCTAAAAACCAGTCGGTCCCCACAGTGACTGGGTCACTATCTTCGCTGTGACTTGAACACAGCACTGCCTGGTTTCCTTCACCTGAACTGAGTCACCAAAGCCTAAACCCCAGTCGGGAATCACCACCGTGGTTATCAGCACTCACCGCTTTAGACTCTGAGCACGCTCATTAAAAAGGGGCGTTTCATGCCTCATATGACTCCAATCAGAAATGTTATCAGATGATGATGATTCATTCGAGTTAACTGTTTAAACACTGAGCAGGTTTCACATTAGAGCTCTGAAACTTTACACCTGAAAGGTTTCTGTCCCACAGTCTGACGAAGCAGACGGAGATCACTTCAGTTTGTCTGCAGGTCAAAGTGCAGTGATCTGTGTTCTAGTTTCCAGTGGAGTGAAACAGACTCAGCAGCAGATTAGAAAATAAAAACATGCATCATCAGGTTAAACCAGGCATCCTCCAGTGAGTCTGTATCTCTGCCTTCGTTTCATGCTTTTAGAAGCCTCAACAACTTTAGCTGAAATTCAAATATTTTATCAGTCACTCAGTTCTAATTAACAGGAAGTCTGTTTATGCTAACCAGGACAGCGGTCATTAACTTAGCCGTCCACCTCTCGTCTCACTGCAGCCTCTAAACACCAACGCAGCAAAAACAAAGCAGTGAGCGATGGAGGCGACATCTGTCCATCTTCACATCTGTCTTCATGGTTTTGTTGTTTTATTTTATACTGTATGTGCGCTTTTATTGTTTGGAAACGACAAATTGGAGGTGACAGAGTGGAACATGTTGAGAGATTCATTTGGAGCGATCAGAATAAATGAAACATCAGAGGTGGAGCTCAGGTGGAGCTGTTTGGAGACAGAGTTAGAGAGGCAGGTGACATGGTTTGAGCAGAGGAGGGATCGTGGATATACTGGATGACGGATGTTGAAAATGGAGCTGCCAGACGGGAGGAAGCTCACAGAGGAGATTCATGGATTAGCGCTGGTGTGACAGAGGTGGATGTAAAGGACGGGGTGAGGTGGAGGCAGAGCATCTGCTGTGGCGACCCCTAAAGGAAGCAGCTGAAAAGAGAAGGATTTTGATTGTCTCCTGTGACTCAGGAGATCCAGGCTTCCCTGTTTCAGTTAACAAAGGTAAACATCAGCACGAGGTTGTCTGACTGTGTTCAGTGCTTTCAGTTTTCTGCAGCTGCGTTTTCTTTTACCCGTCGTGGGTTTTGTTTTTACGGTGTGGCGTCAGTATTTCAGAAAGGATCTGAATGCTTCCTGAAGTGTGCGCAGCAGAAACCACACGTTCTCTCAGGAGACGTGAGCCAGCATCACGAGTCCCTGTCCTCTGCACACGTGATGATGATGATGATGATGATGATGATGCGGCGTCTGATGTTAGGCTTGAATGTCAGTGAAGCAAACAGCAGATGTGACATTTTGAACCAGATCTGTCCTGTTGTTCTGATGACCGACTTTCCTCCTGATCGGAGCTGTGCGGTCACTCCAAACTGAATGACAGATTTTTGTGTCCATCTTTAAAGCATCTAAACAACATCTGACTGATACTTCCTCTTAATGGCGTTGTGTAGCAAGGTTCCAGCCCCGCTCACACATTTCATCACCTCTGTGTCACCACGTGAGCGAAACCTGAGCTGGTTGTATAAACGGGCCCAAACACGAGTCATTAAACCCTCCTCGCTGACTGGATTAATATTTACACTGCACATATTGGCCCACGGCTTCATTTTGGCCTCCGCTGGCGCTCCACCAAGGTGGACCTATTTGGCACGCTGCCTTTCATCCTGCTGCTGTCGGTTTGTCGTCTCTCCATCACGTGCACGTTTTTCTGACGTGGAGGCAGCAGCAGCAGCAGAGGAGTCTTCAGCGGCGCCGTTGGACATGGTCGGTTCCACGCCAGCAGCTGTAACAGCTCTCCCGGGTGCTATCACCGCCTGCCAGACGGCAGAGTGGAACGAGCCTGTTCTAAATCACTCACAGCTCTGCTGATTAGCTTCCCGGACGAGGTTAAAGACTTTTCAGAAGATGTGGAAGGAGAGACCAGAGCTGAGATGAAGAAGTCTTCCCTGATTTATTTCACGTCACGCTGACACTGAGCCAACGCTGGCAGAAGCTGACACCCGGACTAATGTCCGCCTGCTCAAAGTCCCATACAGACCTCGACTCATATTAATGACTCCTGAGCAAGGCACTTAACCTCGGTGGCCCAGCAGGTGAATGTAGAGCAGTGAAGGTTTACTGCCAGAGCTGCTCCGAGGTTTAGAGAGAAACACAGAAAATTGTTGTTGCATCTCTTTGTAGGGACCAAAGTCCAGGTCCCTACAAGTTTGAAGACATTCTTCAGACTCAAAATGTGGTTTTAGTAGGGCTGGGTTTTTATAATCGATTTATCGATTAAAATCGATAACGTGAAATCGATTCATTAAAATCCTGAATCGATTTTTTTATATAAATTTATTTTGCCCGAAATGCCAGAATCTCAGGTGAAACCTCAAAACTTCAACAACCACCAAACAGCTGGGACAGTGAATGAGAGCAGGAAGACGGCTTCTGCACAAAGACGTAAACACAAAGCTCTGACCGCGGATCAGAATCAGTGACATGTGACTTTCTCACATGTCACAGCTGACAGTCGACAGCTCGCTGATTCTGATCTGTCGGCGGCTCCACACTTTGTGTTCACGCCCTTTTTGCGCTGATTCTAAAGCTGTTAGTTTGATGTCTCTCCAAACAACATTGACCGAACCAGCAGCAAAAGAAGATCCAAACTACGCTTCACATAAACATCGTCATGAACTCACTCTGACTTTTGCTGTTTTGCTTCCACCACGATGCACAGCTCTCTCTCTCCCTCTCTCTCCCTCTCCCTGTCTGTCTGTTTTCTGCATTATTCGCTTGCTTGTTACGCACAAGTCTACCGTTGTTTACAGGCTGTCGGCCGCTGTTTTTGTTTGTTTTACATCCGAAAAGTAAACCTAATTTCTGCCGTTCAATACTGAACAAATGTAAACTTTTT